GAGTGGTTAATGAAAGTGTTCCAAAACACGACATTAATTTGTTGATGACCTAATAGTTATAACTGTATTACAATCCTGAGTCATTCTAGAATTTAAAAAATAAAGTATGTTTCATTTTATTTCAAACGTTACTACAGCTGGTGTTACGGTAGAGAAAATAAAAGATAAATTATAAAGTTTTATTGAGGAAAAACTTGATATTCACTTAGGTGGTTCTAGATCTGCAAAAGAAATATGAAAACTGTAGGATGAAAAGAACTATTCTTATTCTTAGTACAAAATTAACTTTCACTAAGACTGACTCAATAAAGGCTTTGTAAATTCACAGACAAATCATCAGCAAAATACTGTATTAAAAAATCTGTTTTTTTTGTACAACCAACTTGTTTACTACAAGTTCACCAGATTTCCTGAAGATACCACTAGTGCAGTCAGAGTTATATAGTGGAAAAATCATGTTAGGTTTTTAACAATTCAAATATAATTTTATTTTAACATGTATAACTTTCAAATTAAAAATGTTTTATCAGGAAGTAAAACTAACTACGTTTCCCGAGGAGTTCTTTCGAGCATAAGGTGGCAATTTATCTCACTGTAAACCACAAATTATTTAGAAGACTAAGAAAAAGCGAAACAATAAGTGGCCAAGCCACTCAACAACAAAACTTACTATTTATCAAAATTTATCCTGTGATGATGCATACCTCCAGCGTTACCACGACCACCTGGATGTTTCCTGGCCTTACCTGATTAAACAGAAATTATATTTATTTACACAACTAGAATATTATACAAAATCAAACTTGTTAGTCATCTCTTTAGTGCTTTTATGAATGCTCATATACAATCCGTGCCTTACATATGAAGTTAAAAATTACCTGATGACATTAGAAGTCCTTAAAGTACCATGTATCAAACTCTAAGAACTTAAAAGTCAAAGTAAAGAATGTACGACAGTAAGTCAAATATCCTATACTGAGTACCAACAAAGCCATTTGCCAAGTACCAAAGCTCATTAGATCAGCTAAAAATAATCAAACATGATTGTGGGAGAGATGTTATTTATGTTACCAAACTCCAAGAACGGCCATTGTTACCAGTTTTATAAATCACTTACAAATCAATGTTAGGGGTAAGGATTAATAACAGTATTAGTTACAGAAGTTGTTAACAAAATTTCATGCAATAAATCTGAAGTAAATTATAGATTCAATTTTATTTAATTTTCATATACTTTACAGCATCTGTGATTCTTTAAATGAGATGAATTTAGAAATGGCACAAGATGTTTATAAAACTCACCTATACGACCATGGCCATGGCTAACATGTCCACGAAGTTTCCTGGTCTTCCTCTTATTGGTAGACTGGCAAGAAAAACAAGACAATAAGTATCATTCTAATTAAATATATAACAAGAATATTCCTGTATTATCATAAATATAATTGTAAGTTACTGAAAAACTTAGGCCTACACCATTTATATAAGATAACGTGTAATAACTGTCCAGAATTCTACATCAGAGAAACTGGAAGAAAATTGAAAACCAGATTCACCGAACATCATAATAATGACCTACTTAAGTTTACCTCCATTGTAACTAAAAAAAAATAACAGTATGTCTACACAAAAATGCTAATTTTAAACAAAGAACCAAACATCAATAAATGCAGAATGAAGGAAGCATATTAATTGAACAAAATAGTGCTACCCTAAACCAAAACCCTGGGGTACCAAAATACCTATACTAGGCTGTGAAGCAATCTCTTGTCATGTGTCTCTGTAAACTATTTGTACCTGAGGATGATATAATCTAGTCAAGCTGTCGTCAAATATGAAATGAAGAAGTACGATAACTTTATCAGAATTGTGTAAATATACTAAGAAATGTGTGTTTTGAGTTAAAATTTGTAAGATTAAAAGTGTTTTGAATTGGAGATGCTACATGCTTTTATTAAACATGTGATGAAATATAGTGTCTGTTTTCATAGCTCCATAGATGGCAGCAGTGATGTATCGACTAGAATCTAATATTCTAGTCCAGCTGAACATGAAATTTATTAATGCCTTTTTAGTTTTTGGCTTCCAAAGAGGGCCTAACCCCCTTATTCTTAAAAACACCTTCAAAATAAATATCTAATTACTTTTAGTAATTAATGTTGATATTATGTGACTATGTAATTTTTATTTTATAATGTTACAAGTTTAGGGCCGAGTTTTGGGGTGAATTTGAAGTCAATGGGAATTTTATGTTTAATGGCAAAGTTTGCCAAACATAATAAAAAACCCACCCATGTTTACCACCACTGCAACTGAAAAAAACCACAGTATATCTATACAAAAACACATACTTAAACAACGAATCAAACATCAATAAATGCACAATAAAGGAAGCCATATTAATTGAACAAAGCCCCACCTTAAACTAACACCCAGGGGTACCAAGATACTTAAACTAAGCTGTGAAGCAATCTCCAATCATGTTACCTTTCTGTTCCATACTGTAAATATATTCATATGTCTCTGTAAACTACTTGTACCCGAGGGTGACAATCTTGTCAAAATGTTGTATATTTATATAAAAGATTTCTTCTTTACCCAGTCAAGCCGTCTACAAACTTTTATTTTCAGTATTTCATAGTTTATGGTTTTGGTAATTAATAAACTTTTTAAATATCAACTTATCCATATTTTCCCATTAAAAACAGCACTTAAAATAAACTGAAAGACAAAGAAAATGAGTACCTGCAGTAATAAACAGTTTTTCCGTGAGAACGGGAAAAGAGTTTACATACATACTTTCTATCCAAAGTACTCAACTTTACATAACATCAAAAGACACCATGTAAGCTTCGTTGGAGATTCTTTAGAACAGCAAAACAATATATACATATATATTGGGTAGTATTACAAATACCTGTAGTTTCTATTTACAAAAACTGTGATGAATTCTTTCATCAACTCGGTACACTAAGTTGACAATATTCATTTAGGCCGATAAAAATCATGAGGAACACAAAATAAAAACAATTGTAAATCTACATTTTCAATGGTCTGCAAACTTATACTTATTATTTTAAAATATATATTACTACTAGTCATACATATAGATTAACAGAGTTAAAAACAAAACACAGTTGGTTGTAATAAAATAACGCATCATCTTTATTTCTAAGGTTACAAGGTATCTGAAATGTTGGGACTTGTAAACAATGATATTGGATGTATCGTTAAGTATGGAAGTACTTATGAGAATGTTAAAATAATAAAGCTACATAGATGTGTGTGTGTGTGTGTGTGGTCAGATGAAGAGATCATAAATATCTTACAAACTACTGCCATGCGGATGTGTACCACAGCTCATCATAATCGTGCATAAGTTGTGACGAGCGTAGTATCACAATTTATAAATACCATTGCAAACAAAATCATATTGACGCTATAAAACATTGAACATCAGTTATATATAATGAGTTTTATAATAATTTTTCTCTAGACCATTATACCATTTTTTTTAATTCTGTTGCCGACTTACCTGATAACTGGAATAATATTGTGTATATACTCGCTAGCCATTCTGTTGCCGACTTACCTGATAACTGGAATAATATTGTTTATATACTCGCTAGCCATTCTGTAGCCGACTTACCTGATAACTGGAATAATATTGTTTATATACTCGCTAGCCATTCTGTAGCCGACTAACCTGATAACTGGAATAATATTGTTTATATACTCGCTAGACATGTGATGTAGAATCCCCTCCCACACACATATCTCTATAACTAATGAATATAATGAACTTTTGAAGTTCGGGAAAATTGTTAGAAGCTATATTTAAAACAAAAGTGCCAGAAATTATACATGTTTTACACAATCTGTATTATATTGTATTACACAAAGCCACATATGTATATAACATCAAATGAAGCACACAACTTGCAACAGTATGTCCTAAACAATGAATGCAAAAGTACCAAAGACCATGAACTACAGCTCCAGAAACTTGTTTATAACAAATATCAACCTCAAATTATCACGTGAGAGTAATTACATGTTAAAAAATATATAAATAACGAACATAAGTACTACCACCCCATAGTATACCCTAACCTCATAGTTTATAACTAACTAAAATAAATACATTTTGCTCTTTGGACTAAACTAATTACAACATGTAAAGTATATGCATTCTTTGTTTTCAATATTCATTTATTTCAGAAATTGTTGATCTTCACGTGATACATTTCCTGCTAGTACACTACATCTTTTTCACACCCTCTACCAATATCCAACTAATTAATGAAACAACGTAACCTAACCCTTGCAAATAATAACGTATGAAAAGTATATTAAATTAGCTACAAATATTACAAATACCATGTTGAATTTTACTTTCCACCTGAATAGGTAGCTTGGTTCGATTTTAAGCTAACATTAATAGTAACAGTTGGAAAAACAGACTGATTTTTTAACTATTAATGTGACTAAGTAACAAAAAAGTTAATACTGCAGTTACAAGCACTTGTGTTCCATTCATACAGTTACTAACAGTTGCCGAGACTTGAAAGTTCACTAATACTTATGTGATTGTGTCTAATGATCTCAATTTTCAGTCTTTCCGCATTTTCTACAAGTATAAAGACACAAATTAAATAATACTATGACCAGAACGATAAAAGTGTAAGAAATCCAGAAAACTTAACAAGGAGTATAATGGATCACATCTGAAAATTTAACTCAGTGTTCACTGTTGGTAGTAACCCTAACTTAGTTTTTTTAAACATGCAGATACTTTGTGAGATTACATGTAGTTTAATTACAAGTTGTGCCATTCTAACGATATAGTTATAATCAAGAGAAACTACAAAAACGAATTATCAAAAAATACATTAATGATGTAATAAAACCCTTTCTTTTTAAAAGATTGAATCAGATTCAATTTTATACAACTACTCAATAAAACTCACCATTTCCAAGTTAAAACAAGAAGAGAAATAACGCGAGATCGCACGAGAAACTATTAAGCGTTGTTACCCAGATTGACGAAAGAGGGCAATGTTCAAGAATCAACCCATAATTTATTATAAAAATTTCTGACCGAGGAGATACCTTCACTAGATTATAACAATTATTTATTTAAAAACTGTTAAACGGTAATGAAATGAAAATGGATTAAACCAACGTTTCACTGATACTAATTCAGCATAATCAGGTTTACGAAAATAATACAATAGAGAGTTTAGGTTAATAAGAATTTATATTATAAATTGCTATTTTATTAAAGATAATCTGTCTACAACAGGGAATTGAATCTTGGATATTAGCGTTCTAAGAATAACTGTTTCGACGAGAAGGATGGATGAAAAAAACTGTAATCGCAGCAATTCCATTCGAACACATACTTCAACTTTCCGATACAGCTCCAATGAACTATTTGGCCTGAACTTGTAAGCCGATGTTCATACACGTTGAATGATCTTGTTGCAATGAAAATTGCAGCGCTGGGCAACAGTGCTAGTCATGATAAGTAGACAGAGCACAATAGATGATGGACTCAATTCTAAGAGCATGGGTACCTGAAACAATATTATTATAAAGTATGTCTAATCATCGGTAAAAACGAATTCTAATTCATGTTAATTATTTAAATCAAACAGCTGTCTTTATTTTTTATCCTATGAATATTACTTAGTTAAAAGGTATTGAAACCAGATTTTTAGCGTTTTAAGCCCTTAAAGTTACCGATGAGCCACCGCGGCGCTGAAACCATTAGACTTTGTGTTGTATTTTATATACTATTATTACATTCTTTATTGCATTGCTGAAAACTCAAAAACATAAAGTTTGTGGACTTGTTTTATTTTCGAAAGAATAATAATTTCAGATATTTCTTTGTTATTTCGAGAACTGGTAGTAGATTAAAATTTAAATATAACTGGCTGAAACATTACTCAAAATTTTTAATCTTGCCAAATGGAAATATTTTTATCGAATATTATATTAATTAATATAAAATACTTATTAGAATATTTGCTATTTTGAAAACGAAACTGTTTATTCTTCGAAATCTTTCAAAATAAATTGTTTTTTTCATTTCAATTTTAATCTTTTGCTTTAGAAATCATAACGACGGCGATCTTTAAGCAGTACAGCTACCTGTGTGGTATATTTATACACAAGTTGAGGCACCCGTCCTTTGTCCGAGTTATGAACTTTAAAAATGTCTGGGTGGATGGTGTGATAAAATACCATAAAAATCCTAACTTTCACACAATTAATTTATAACATAACATGTTATTACAGTATTCATTATTACCTCACCAAAAGTTTTGTATAAGCTTTAAGAACTCAATATGTATAGACTTAAAACATTGTATACACTTTGTGATGGTCAGGGTGATTGTAGGAAGAGATAGCTGCCAAAGTAGTGGTTGTAGGGGTGCTTTCTGTTACCGGCTTTCAACACCCACTTCTTAATGTCCTTCTACAGTGTTTCATGTGAATAATTAACTGACGGTCATTGGCCGCAGAAATGTCTTATGGATAGAAGTTGAAAGGTCACGGGTCAAAGTAGGAAGTGGATATAACTCAAGAAACGGTTCTTCGTATCAACCTGTTGGAGTAGAAATTTCGGCTGAGTTTATGTATTATTGCAATAGTAATAACCCTGTATTTTTATTGCATCCCTCTTTAGAGAGTGCTAACGTACTCTCCGAGATGTATAAGACGTTTGTCTGCCCTCCCCCACACTGCGTATATGTTGTGTTATAGAAAGTTTTTTTGTTTCATGTACGGACGTGGCGCCATCTATGAATGCAGTTAACGCTAACTTACGTCAAAAATAACAAATGCTCAATAACAGCAATAATGGGAGTGGAGGGGTTGTGAGCCCCCATTAACATGCCCCTTGTTCCAAACTCTCCCTCCACAAGTTTTGGTTAAGATTGGCACAGCGACCTTGTAGTAGTTAGATAACGGACAGAAAGACACACAGTTGTTTTTTACCTTATATATATATATGTTTATAAACCTGCTCTGAGCATAAATTTGTATTTAACACTTAAAGCACATTATATCTTATTTTCATAGTCAGGAGTGTCGTGTACTGTTTAAAACCTTTAGTATTAGCTAAGAAATGAGATATGTTTAGGTAAATGTTTAAAATAGTTTTATCGTTATGTAAAATATACTTATTCTATTACATTTGACAATTGAAAAAATTAATTAGAAAAGAAGGAGAATAAGACGCTATTAAAGATATGTATACATGAAAGAAAAAATGTATACTGCTGTTTATGATGTTCATCTTTTTATATCGCTTTGGGGGTTTTAAGAGCGAGTTTCTGAAATGTAACTATGCTGTACAGTTTAATACATATTCAAATAATTTTATAATATCAACAGTTTTCTCTCAAAAGATGGCGACACTATATTTCATAGATTGTCATATTTCAGCACTACTCATACTAGCAGAAATACCCGCTTTCCGGGCAGGTATAACTACTAGTTCCTGCAGAAGGCTTTTGGGCCGGCGGCCTTTTCTGGAATTTTCTGATAATTCTAAAACAATGTACTCATACTTAACATTCATTAATATTCACCATTCGTGAAAAAAGGATTTTATTAAAATTTTAGTTTAGAAATGAGCTACCATCAGAGCATTACATCACAGAGTATATTTTATTGAAGTATTTCTTTGTAGATGCAGTTATCAATGAAAGTGCCTTGCTTTTCTGTTGCAACATTCATGAGATTTTCACTAAAGAAAAACAAATAATTTTTTTAAGTTTATTTTTTGATTGTTTTATATTTGAAACTTACTCTTTTTTTGTAATTTATATTGGTTAATCTGAAACATATAATTTTTTTTAAAATCTTAATTGTTTTATTTATTGCTCAGCTACAGAAACACTGCCTAGTTACAAAAATATTACCCAGTTATGATTGGTGATGATCGGTGCAGTAGTTTTTGAGATCCGAGTTTAGAGTATACATCGCAAGCTCCATTATAATAAGCTGACGTCTACAGTGACACAGTATTGGGTGTATTTAGTGTCTATTTTGAAGGTAGTATTAAAAACACAAATGCTCCACACCTACACACACAAACAAAACAGTAACATTGTGAAACAATTATTTTATTCACTTTTTTACAGTAAGGAAAGTTATTTTTTAGAACAGGTACGACGTTACGATCACTGGTGTTATCATTCTCAAGTACATAATGTTTTATAATAAGGTTTGACTTAATTTTCTCCACTTGTAAACTTGAAGTAAAAACAAGCACATATTAAAACCTTAACTAAAAAAGGCAAGTTACTTAAAATTAAATAAAGTTTATCATTTGTATATTACTGAGAAAAAAATATATTACTCATGTTATATCTTAAGTTTAAATATAAAATTTTATTACTTTGTATAAAAGTAACGTTCAGAAAACAGGCCAAAGCTAGTAAATTAATTTCCAGTCTCTCAAAGGAGGGAAACATCAAACAGAATGACATTAATATACATTGAAATGGATGTTATCATTTCAGGATTTCTATGTACATTAAAATATTTTTCTTTAGGTTTATATTATCCGGTTTAATTGAATATACATTGTTAATATTAACTGAGAAACAATACTTTCTCTACCCGAATCACACTGTAAAAGAATACATAAATACTAGATTTAAATGGCGTTTTCTATTAGACGATAGACATACAAGATTAGTAAAAAAATTTAATTTAAAAAAGGAGGAATAGGGATCGTTAAAAAAGTACAGAAACAAGTTGAATCAAAATGTAATGATCATATTTTCAAGCCTACACTTAGGAACTCTAAAAAAATAACTAAACAAGGTTGAAAGTAATGTCTACGCCACTTTCTCAAGCTACAAATCCCTATTTTAACTCCACTAAAAGTAATAAGTACTGTATACATGGAATCAAAACAGGGAGTCGTAGCTTGAAAAACTAATGTAGACACTATTTTCAGCTTTGTTTGTTTACTCTTTTAGAGTTTATAGTTGCAGTATTGAAAATATAACCTTGGCATTTTGATTCAACTGCAATTTTTTGACGATCCCTATTTCCTCCTTTTTATATCAAAAATCTTTTTTCTGAAATTTTTTCATGTCCATTTATGGAGAGTAAATTTTAAGCTCTATACGTTCATGTGCGTTCAGTTGAATGTTACACGCTTTTCAACAGTTTACTGCTGCATTTGGATTTTTTTCCCCCACCCAACCACCACACTGAACTTATTCAAAATAAATAGCAAATGTACAACAAAGAATAAACACACGTACTGGTATGCAACTACAACAAACAAAATGTAAAGCTGTTCTCAAAGCCGTGAAGGCTAAGATTGTATCATCACAGATTTAATTACCGGCTTCTATCAATGTACCAGTGTCATGTAACAAAAGCTGAGCAGCAGCAAAGCAATCTCATCAGAATGGAATAATGTTTTTTTTTCTAAGATAATACAACACAGATTAATGCAATGTAAACCGACGCAGTAACATGTTTACCTTGTTAGGTCTACATGACGCATGTATGTTCTTCAACAGCCTGATATGCACAAGTATTTGCTAGAATAAGGCGACACAAACAATGCATGCGAAATAGAAAACAGCAACACACTTTGCGTAAGTCGCCAGTTATCAACAGTATTTACAACCGCTACAAAAATACCAATTATATAAAAATAGCAATAGCTAGATAAAATAGTGTCATATGCAGTTGTAATAAATACTGAATACACACTCACGATTTCAGCTAACTATACAAAACAGTAGAAATAATCACCACCGTCTCCTGAGTAGGAAGATATACTATGGTAGTCGTCCACTGTTAAAACTTGTTGAAATATAGTCGCGGAAATCCACGTAGAGACAGCAAACTCGAGTAACGATGAACAATAGCGACTCCAGTAGCGATATGCAACAGAAAAGTCGGGAATCTTTCACGTTACACTTTCCAATTAATGTGCTAGAAAATGCCCGAGTAGTAGTTTCCATCTAACACACACGCTAGGAAAACACCAGAATTTTTTA